GACCGTAGATCGATCTACGGTCCGTCAATCCCCTCCGTAGCTCCACACTTAGAATCTTCAAAAATCAGGTACTGGAACCCTCGCAGTATCACTCTACGGATCAACAGTACGGTCCGTAGATCAATCTACGGACCGTCAATAGACGCCGTGGTTCCACACTTGGTCAGATTTCCCTGATTTGTCCTCCATGCCTTGCCTGCTGATCTACGGTCATCACCTACGGACCGTGAATGGACCTACGGTCCGTAGATCACCTCCGTGAATGCCTTTCTTCTGCATTTCTTTCAGCTGTCTCTACACTTCCGCACCTGAACGTCTTTCCTGCAAAACATGATAAAAACACATCAAAACCAATATAAAAAGGCCTTAGACACACACAACTTGTAAGTGAAACGTATTAGAAATACCGTAAACTCACGGTATATCAATGGAGGATTGGCAGAAGATCAGGAAGCCATAAAAGAAGAGATATGAAGTAATAATCTATATAAGGAACCTGTCAAATAGAGACTCTGCTTTGGACAGAAGATATCCCCAAAATTAACGTGGAAGAAGAGGATCGGTTCCAAAGATTTTTTAGTGAATAGGCGGAGGACAAAGCAATCAAAACGCAAAGGTAGTTAAGCCCCTAGCCCTAATGGTCTCACAATGCCATTCGACCATAATTGGTAGCCCATAATTAGGGGAGGCCTTCTGCATGCAATCCACAAATGTAAATAATCGAGAAAAGTTTCATCTCTCATACATTGGCGTGATACCTAAGAATGATAAGGTTGAAAAACTTGAGGACTTTAACAGTACTAATTCTCAAAAAAAAAAAGAAAAAAAAAGAGGACTTTAAGCCTGTCAACCTAGTGGGGAGCTTCCACAATTCATCATTAAGTTGCTTACAAAATCTCAAAAATGTTATGAAGAAGCTCATGGCTGATACATAAACAACATTCATAAAAAGGGAGTCTATAGATTGTATTCATTACTGCCTGAGTCACAAATGAATACTTAGAGAGAAGGAGGCAAGTAAAGCAGGGGTAATCTATAGAAAAAGGTTTCAATCATGTTAATTGGAGTTTTCTGTTCTGATAAGAGAAATGGTACTCACTCAAATGGATAAACTGCATCAGTTAGTGCATTTCTTTGTTATAATGATAGTGGATGATATTAATTTGATGCTAAAGAAAGCCATGCACTTGACATTGATCTGTCACTTTTACATTGAGAGAGGAAGTGTCAATTCTTTGGCCATCTCTCACCTTACCTTATATAGGCTGATGACATTCTCATAATATGTGATACAGATAATAGACAGTTTGAGTATATTGAAATCATCCATCTTTGGTTTTGGCCATCTCTAGACTTTATATAAATCTGGAGAAAAGTTTCCTCTTTCCTGAAGTTCAGAAACTTGAGAACTGGCTGCTAATTTGGGAAGTAATATTGGATCTTTACCTAACTATGTACTTAAGCATATGCCTTTGGTGTGGCCTTTAACTGAGCGTACATCTGTAGTGGAGTCATTGTAAAGGTGGAGAAGAAGCGGTAATTGAAAAAGACAATCCTTATGATATGTGGGAGACTGACTTTAATAAACAGCGTGATGGATGCTTCCCCAAACTATGCAATATCTTTATTCCTATGCCAGCATGGATAGAGGAAGACAGGGATAGAAGAAATTTCTTATGGGAAGGGAACAAAGAGAAAAGTAATTCTATCTAGACAGTCTCCCTATGAAAGCTATTATTTATGTTGGTACCTAAGTTAGTGAGCATGAGTTGGTTGTTCACAGGTTGCAGTATGTAGAAGCTTTACTAACTAAGATCTTAGATTGCATTTTTAACACACATGGTCTTTCAGATGACAAATAACTTAATTTGTTAACTCTCTTTTTTTTTGTTTGGCTTAAATATATTTGAGAAATTTATTCAAAGAAAAAAATCACATTGCAGATTGTGGCATCCATCTTCACTTATGTTCATGCAAAATTTGGACTTAGGCGGTGGAAATTCTGTATTAGCAGTTGCAGAAGGTTGCCAGGTAATGTTTCTATGTTATTTTTTATCTCTTATGTTGGAATCATGCAGAGAATGTCTTGTTCTTTGCTGATTCTTTTCATGCTCTGCACTCCATACTGGCTGCAGCTGACAATATGGGACTTGCGAATGAAAGAAAAGGGTGGTTGTGTGCGTCGAATCTGTGGATCTGTAGGAGATAACTTGTATGCAGTCTGTAATTCTTCAAAAGGTACTATTGCGGCAGGTGGAGCTGATCGCACTGTGACTGTCTATGATCCTCGCAGGTTATCTCCTCATAAGGCTTTACTTTGCTTTTAGTGGTTGTCTAGTGTTGATCTTACAGTGTGCTTGTGTACTTGATCAAATTTCAGATAACTTGGAATATACTATGTTAAGGAATTCGTTCTTGTCTGTTATCTCATATATTTCTCGTCTTGTGCATTCTTTTGAAAGGAATATTGCCAGTTCTAGCACTAGGATATGTTCACACTTCCAAATTATATTGAAATCTACAATTTTCTCAGCTTTCTATGTTTGCTTCAGAGTCCTGACAGGTAACATAGTTCCCGGCAGGTTTGGTTGTGTAAGAGGGTTGATTTATTTTCCTAACACACTGATATAAATATACATTTCTATTACAGGTGGTCAGCAGTGTCGAGATGGCTAAACTGCTCTAAGTATGAGGTCAATCTTGTCCTCCCCCTCTCTCTCACACACACACATACATATACACCCGTTTTTTTTTTTTTTTTTTTTTTTTTAACATATACACACATTTATTTTTATATTAGTAGTTGTTTTCTGTCAATAAGGTATCAAAGGAATTTCTAAAAAGAAGTCCAGCCAATAGTATCCTTGTCTCAAGTGAGGCCACAATTGAAGTTGTCTGGTCAAAATTTGCTTTCATCTCATTTTTGGTTACTTAAATCTCAAGTAACATTCTTTTTGGGTTCTTTTTCCATATCCTTGCTGTGCATCTTTTCTTTCATGATTCTTTTATTACGCCTATGCTTTGTGTTATAATTACTATAATGTCTCATGCTGCTACAGATAACTGGACTTGCTTTCTCTTCCGTTGATCCTGAATATGTCTATGTACAAGGAGTTGACTACGAGGTGACTATTTCACAACTAACCTTTTATAGTTTTCATAAATCTTAAATAGAGAATCTGAGTTTCATCTTTACTCCAGCATATATCCTCCCTTCCATAAAATGCAGTACTCCCTAGATCCAACATTGATGTAAAATTTCAGCACAGCTACTAGACATTTACATGAATCTTAAATAGACTTAAATAGAGAATCTGAGTTTCATCTTTACTCCATCACATATCCCTCCTTCGATAAAACGTAGTATTACCTATATCCAACCTTGACGTAAAACTTCAGCATAGTTACTAGACACTCCTTGAAAGGATGTTCAAACTCTTTTTTCGTTATTCCAACTTGTAGCCTCATTTCCTTTAAACATAGTTCTTCCTGTTAAAATCCAAAATTGCTGTAGTTTTTAAGCGTGGCAGACAACTCCTACCAAAAATAGGTATTTTCCCTCTTTCTTTCTCTCCAGGACTCTGAAGTTCATTTGAATGATGGAAGTCAATATCTCCCCCTACATGGTAGATTACATGTTCATCTACTATGATTTCAATGTTATTAGTTATTAGTAAAAGCATAAAGCAAAAGCAAATTTCTCAAAAAGTAAAAGGACAAAGCAAACCGTGCATGTGATACCTGGTTCTTGCAATTTAGTTTTTCCCTTCTGCAGATTTTTTTTCCCTTTTCATATTTAACATTACCATTCACTATTGCCAGTTTTGAAACATCAGTCTGAACATAGTGATCCCCGGGGGTGTATTGCCCTGTGAAATGATACTGACGGTGTTATCGATTTTTTGTAGTTTTGAGGGCTAAAATGACAATGTTTATAACTTGAGAATTTAAAAGGCTTTGTACCACATCTATCTAGGCTTTCATTTTAATTCCATGCTATACGTGGTGCATTTGGACTTTTGTTCCGCATCACAACCATAATTCAAGTTGTGATCAATTTGGTTCTTTATACCTCTCATTTTTCTCCTTTTTCTTGGGATATTTGAGAGAGCCATTAGTTTGAACTGCAGGTATGACCTGCAAGGATTAGACAAACCTATATACTTCCTGTGACTCTATTGTTTGATGACAGATTTGATATATACTTCTTCACAGGTTGTCTGTGGACGATGGCGTGAAAGCAAGAAAATATTTTCGTATCGAGGAGATTCTAATTGGCTCGGATTTAGCAAGGTAAGAACAAAGTTTAAATGCAGTATGCAAATTATCCGAGTCCAGTTGGCTAATTTGCTGTAAATAACTTCCACCTATGCAATTTCGTCAACGGAAAATCGATCAGCAATGATGAGAAAATTTACATTTGTATAAGACCTAACATTCTTGTAAACCCTTTGGGGTTGCCTAGTGGTTTGGGCTTGGGACTTCCATGTTGGAGGTCTCAAGTTCGAAACCCCTTGCCAGTGAAAGCAAGGGGTTTGCCTTTTGGGTCGAGCTCGTTGCACCGGGGTGCGGGTTACCTCTCTTATGTGGTTTGCGAGCTATTGCATAGGAACGGGGGTTTTACCATGTGTGCACCCAAAGGTAGCGGCTGCCGGTTTCCCTCGTCATCAACAAAAAAAACCCTAACATTCTTGTAATTCCACCTCCATTTAATTCATCCAATTGTTATTTTTTGACAGTGTTCAGACAGGGATGTCTTGGGAGGTTGGTCCGACTCAGGTAGCATATTTGTCGCTGATATTCGTGCAGTGAACGGATTACACCTGTCAAATGACTTAGATGTCCCTGCAGCAACCAGTTTATTTTAATTTGTTTTTAGGACGGGGCAGGGCGTATGCCTTAGAATTTGAGGCGTAAGCCCCCCACGTTAAATTTAACTTTTGTTGGTTTGAAGTATTTTTTGCTATAGATCATGTTTTCTTTATCCGTTTATATAATTTTGAAATGGTACTTATAAGTTACTAATGAATGAGCCAACACAACAAGTTCTTTCTTTTTATTTTATTTTTGTAATTTCCTTTCAAGACTTTTGTCAAAATTATTCTCTTTGGATATGAAAATGTAATACTTTCAATTATTATAAAATTTTCTGCAAATTGAACGAGTCAATTTAGATGAATCTTTCAAAGGTCAAGATATGTAGGCATTGAGGAGACAAGATCAACTTGAAATTAAGCTATTTTATTATCTTCTCAATTATTTTTGGACCCTATAAAAAGTTTATAGAGTTCCAATAGGGTGGGTCCACCCCCAAAATAAAACTTTTGGACAATACTTAATATGGACCTACCTTTATCTAGACTAACCCCTCCAATGCCTATGGAATTGTACCACCTCACCACTCCAAAACCCTAACTACCCAAAAAAAGGGGGAAAAGAAAATACTACTAGTATTAAAATAAGTAGATAACTTAGCAAGGGTGTGACTTAGTGGTTGATGGATTAAAATTATTAAATTTCAAAATTTCACCGATAATTTTTTCTTATTTATCCAAGCTTTAGTGATGGAATTTTACTTTTTATCTATGCCGATATCATGATTCAATTGAGAGGTGTTCAAATTGACCTGAACACCAAAATTATAAGAAAATAGATAGGTCACTTAATTTATTTCTTTATTTTTTATGTTCCACTATTCTAATAAATGCAAGTTGCAATCAAGGGGTTTTTGATAGTGACAAAAAATCAGTTTTGGAACAAAACTAGTAAAAAAGTTGGGATTTAGTGATGGAACTATATCCTACTAATTTTTTGGACTATGGACCCTAGAGTTGTGGGACTTTGCAAAATCACATGCTTTGTGCTTCTTCCTTCTTTAAAGTTTTTGTATAAATCTAATTTAGTAGTAGCTCAATTTTTAATGACTTTTTTGGTCATTTTTATTTGCTCACTGTATACTAAAAGTAAATGTTCATGTTACTTGTTTAGTTTTTAAAAAATTATTATCTTATATCAATTTTATCTTAATTATTAAGTATTATTTTTCAATGTATTTTTTTAAAATACATATCATTTTGTTAATTACTTCTTAAGGAGTTTGTCAAATCGAATATAAATAAATAAAAATAAACAAATGAAATGTTACTAGTAAAGGCAAAACAAATAAAAGTGAAATAATTAAGTGACTAAAAGTTCACTTAATTACCTTACTTTTCAATCCCCTAAAAAAAGTGGTTTAAGGATAGGTAATATATTATGAGTATAACTATAATATAAAGGAAACTTTTGGAAAAGTGAAACTTGAAGCACAAGTTTTGGCACTTTTTTTATGGATATTACTAGTTAATTATTAGGGATCCTAATTATTAATCAATTAACTCCTGATTTGATTGGTTTTCGACATTTGACTAGTTGATTTTCTGGAGAAAAATAACACCTCAAAACTACCCCCATAGACAAATAGCAGCTAACCTTCTACCCCCTCCGTTTAAAAAAGAATGGTCTAGTTTTTCTTTCAGTCTATTTCGGGAAAAAAAATGACTCATTTCCTTTTTTGGCAATACTTTAACTTCAACTGTCCACGTGATATATTTAAGACCACAAGATTAAAGGACATTTTGGTACATTTGACATAACTTTAATTTATAACCACAAAATTAAAAAGTCTTTTTTCTTTTCTTAAACTTCATTCTAAGTTAAATTAGGTCTTTTTTTTTTGTAACGGAGGAATTAATATTTATTTCAAAATACAAGGAACAAATCTTGTTGCAATAATATTGATAAAAGAAAAAATAGAAGATATTCATTTCTCCGACTATTAGGATCGCTTGGTTGATGGAATAAGAAATTAAGAATATTGAGATAAATTGTGAAATTATTGTTTTTCATATTTGGTACAATTTTTTATGACATAATTATACCTCTTTCTATACCATATTTTATATGGGACAGCAATTTTTACATTACTAAAATGAAACAACAAAATACTCCCTCCGTTCCATTTTATATGAGGTAGTTTGACTCGGTACGGAATTTAAGAAAAAAATGAAGACTTTTAAAACTTTTAAAGTAAAATGAATGATAGAAATCTGTGTAGTTGTAACTCATTTCATTAAAGGTAAAATGAATATTTTACAGTTAAATTGTTATTTAATATAAAATTGTGTCATTCTTTTTTAAATATTGGGACAGAGGGAGTAATACATTTGCCTTTTTTCGATGCTTTCTCCCAACGTTTTGTAAGAAAAGTCCAATTAAACTAAACACATGTTTTATATATATCTCATTTTTAATCCAACGTAATCTAATATTTATCGATAAAAATATATTTACTAAAGAAAATCCTATCATTATTTAATTTTTATATTATAACTTTGAGATAACTTGCCAGCAATCAACTCTTTTTAAAAGGGATAAGAGATGCATATTGATATATCCTCTTAGACATGTGGATATGTTTAATTAAAATGTTATAATCTTTTTAATCTAATAAATAATAATTAATTGTGATTCCATGCTTCTTAAGCTTATGACATATCCCTATAATAATTCTGATATATCAAAATAGTTGAGACTTGAGAGGACGGAACACCACAATATTATATAACATGACCACCATCTAAGTTGGCCATTTAATTTACTCATTTTATTTAATTATGACAACAACTTGATAGTTCAATTATTCACAAATTCTTATGACATTCTACCATATTATCTTTGGTGATGGTGATAGATTTTTCTAATATCTTAAACCATTAAAATATTTTATACATTTTTGCGTTGCACGATGAACTTAATTATTAAAAAATAGCTTCGAGAAGAAGACCCCAAGCCTACTAACTATATATAATATAAATTCATGATATCTAAAATATAAATCTCTTTCGTTACAACAATTCTTTGTTTCGATGTGATTAATAAGACGTGGATCGTTCATGTATCTTAATTTGTATAATGTATAATGATATGATGTGAAGAAGAGTTGAACTTTAAAATTAAAAATAAATATTTCTACATGTTTTAGTTTTGTTGATAGAGTTATTTAATATTCGTTGTTAGTTGGAGAGAATTGGAATGTTATGAAATTAGTTGAGATGTACGTAAGTTGATCCGAACACCATCACGATTATAAAAAAATAAAAATAGATGACAACTATTGTGTTTGTTGAAGTAGGAAAATAGAAAGTGACAATAGGTCCCATTGCTGGATTCCATCTTGGATTATGAGATCACTATGTTAAGTTTATATGAATTGTTCATATTGCTTGCTAAGAAAACATGGAGTATAATTATTAATTAAGCTAACGATTAAAGTAATTATCGGGATTTTTTTAATTATTCTCAGAAAATGGTTTGTCTCATGTCTTTTTCCTTTTTAAACTCTTTAAAGATGCACTTCTATATTACTTTTTAAAACAAGTAATATGAATTGGAAAGGTATTTAGTGATAACTAGTTAAGTGTATGTGATTTTAGTTTGGTTGTTAGTATTATATGTTCATGATCCTAATTTATTTTGGTTGTTAATATTATAAATATGGGTGTCTTTTTATTACATATTTTCAACGTAGTGAGAGATACATTCAATGTGTAGAGAGATATACTCAATGTACAAAAATACAAGAGTTATTGAGTTATTTAATAAAGCCTTCTACCTCCTAGTTGTAGATTAATAGATTTCTTCTATATAACATTGTTGGATCTTTCACTTGTGCATATATTATTACCTTGAATAATTTTATTTCCTTCAAATTGATATCAGATCTAGCTTGTGTGAGATTCTTATAAAAGTCTTGTGTGAGATCTGATAAAAGGTGAGATCATATTAAAGTCTCATGTGAGATCTGACATATACAAAAGAATATGAGTATTCCATATTTATCCGAAATGTCCCATTTTTGTGTTCTTGATGGTAAAAATAATTTTGAGAGTTAGTATCAACATATGAAGAATTTTATCAAAATTGTTGGACTATGGTCCATTATTGATATTGGATTCGTGAATGCCCCAGAGGGCATAACATTGACTAGTGAATTTGCAAAATAATTGGAGAAAAGTAGAAAATTGGATTATAAGGCATGATTTTATCTTGATAGAAAGGTTGAATTGCATGTATATAATAAAATTTTAAGAAGGCTTGAACAATTTTAACAAAAACACATTGACGTGTTACAGATGTGAAGAGAGAAAAACTTCATGAACTTTGGAAACAATTTGAGTTGGCTCAAATGAAACCAACATAATCAATCAAAGATTTCTTTATGAGATTCAAAAAAATGGTCGATGGTTTAGAATCAATGGAAAAGTATTAGAAGAAGAAAATTATTTAAAAAATATTAAATTTTCTCAGTTAAGAGTTTCAAACAATAAGACATATGTTGAGTCTATCTGAAATCTGAATACCTTAAAGCTTGATGATCTAAAAGGTGAATTGGTGACATATGAGATGTCCTTAACTCAACAAATGATAAAAATATTTGATGAAGCATTGCAAACAAAGGTGAGTCAATCTAAGTCAAAAGAAGAGATATCAAACTGAGTTAAGGCAAATCAAAGATGTCAAAATCTCAGAGGTACAATGACGAGGAAATATAGATGTGATAGTGGAGGAGGAAGATCAAAGAAAGGATGATAAAGAAGAGACATTGAGTTTGGTAGAAATAAATGAAGAAAATCAAAGAAAAGATGATCAATTAAGAGAAAAAAAAGAATCATCAAATTAGACAAAAATATATGAAGAAGATCAGAGTTTAAAAATTGTGGAGAAAGGAAGGAAAGATAGAAGTAATTTTCACTGCGGTATGGATGTCTTTGATTGGAAAGAGGACTCCAATAGTGGTCAATCTAATAAGTCAATAATTATTGCCTTATTGGGATGACTAAAAAGAATAATTTGGTTGAAATTGATGTTTCTTCGATAAAGGCTAGTAATTCAAGCCATGAGACATGTAATAAACATGATTGGTCTATACAAAGTGAAGGTATTAGAAAAGAAATTGAAATACTCTGTTGTCTCACAAAAAAAAT